AGAGAGAGAGAGAGAGAGAGAGAGAGAGAGAGAGAGAGAGAGAGAGAGAGAGAGAGAGGGAGAAGGAGAGAAAGATCGTCGCTCCTCCGCTGATGATATTGCGTCTTGGTTTATCTCCCGCGACGCGTCGAACGCCGTGGCGAACGCTGTTCCTTGCGCCCGGTCTGGTCCTGCGCCTATATACGGACTATGCTAATATTTTACTAGATCCATACTCGCGGCGGCGCGTCGAAATAGGCGTTCGCCTTGGCGTTCAGCGCGTTGACAGCAGAGGCGTCACGTGTGCTCAACCGACGCGACAAAATATTGATTACCTCCGTGAACCATCTAGAATCTTCTTCTTCCCGCGGCCGTTTCCTTCGACGTAAAGACTAACGCGAGTCGTGTACGACGCGCGAGTCACTTCGAATTTGCACAGGAGGGCTTTTCAAGCTGTCGTTTGACCGGCCGCGTTCTAGTCGGCGGCGCGACGCGACGCGATGATGAAACTTCCCGAGTCGCGAGTCGTTCTCTGCTGATGCCAAAGTAGGCAGAACGGGAGTCAGGGGGGAGGGAGAGAGTGTCGAAACGGAGCGAAAAGAGTAAGAAACGGTTAACTAGGTCGGCTAGCCCAGAACGCAGCGAGGAGGCCGCCAGCTCGGAGGACGAGAGCCCGGTGGAGCCGATCAAGCAGGAACGAAGCCCTATGAATGGCTTCGTATTGAGCGCAGTGCAGCCTTTCGTGAGGGAGAAGAGCTATCGACCCATTTCCTTCAATCCGCAGTCACCTCCGCCTATACCGAGTTAGAGGCCGCTCATTGGATCTTGAAAAACAGACTACACTCGAGATTCTCCGACGAAATCCTCCGTGGAAAATCGAACGCCTTACTTTTCCTTCACGTACACGAAATATCGGATTCGAAAGGAGGAGTGTCGCTCTCCTCGTGGACCTTCGGCGCGTATTCCATATAGATTTATCTGAACCAAAAAATCGTTCGACAGCGTTCGTAGAATACCGATGTTTCGAGTACGTACAGCACGAGTCTCCAGATTCGTTCAACCGGCGCGTTTTGTCAAAGAGATCTTGCGCGATAGAAATTTCTCGAACGACTCAATCGGAGAAGAAATAGTTCTCTATGCGACGTAGAAAGTGCTCTTCGAGTTTCTTCTGTGTTTTCCCGTGCGAGTGTATATAATGGATCGTCGTGAGAGACAGCGCGACGTAGTAATCGTTCATCACGCAACATTATTGTACGTGGAACTAATGTCAAGTAATACTCTATGGTGTGTAACAAATAACACGATCTAACTCCTAACCAAATGTGTTCCGTACGACTCTCGGTCTACGTCCATCTACTATTTATGTTTGTCATATAAGCATTAACAACAAAAACAAGAGTGGAATCAAAGATCATAAGCTTGTATGCGCGCACGCGCGCGTGCGTGCGTGCATGCGTGCGATGTCGTTTTATAACCAGTTTTATGAAACCACGCCGTCGGAGAGAACCAGTAATACCGGGTACATTACTCAACAGGTTTAGGGCAGTATTTTGTAATTATGTACAGATAACAATTGTGCAGGCGAACTGCAACTATTTGCTCATGTAATGTAATCAAACAAAGGATAACGTTGTTAATTAGTGCTGTGTGAATTTCTTTCTCATCCCTCACCCTTCACGCGTGCGATGTCGAGAGAGAAAGAGGGAGATTTGAATTTATATCTCGTAGAGTGAACTGTCGATTTCAATATTGTTTTGTTGGTGTGTTCTCTTAATCGACCAGAGATTAGCATGTTTCATTTTTAAAGCCAGAACGAGGGTGACATTAGTACGGGCAGTTTTATTAGTTTTTAAGTCAATTATTCTCAATAAATTGCCATAAAATTAACATGACATACAACCTATTCTATGTCGTTTATTTTTACGACTATTCATTGACTATCAAGGGAAAACGATAGTTTTTTGGACATTTTATAAGTATGCTTAAGCAATCTCAAGTGTTTTTTCATATAAATGTTATTTTGAGATGATGCGCAAAAACTTTCAGCGTGTTATTTCCCGCTTCCAACATCCAATATAATTACTTGCAAGTATCTAGAAGTTTTAACTTCACATTGTTCCAACAAGTCTCAAAGATATGCAACTTAGGGACTTTGAAAATCCAACGTGTGCGCACTGTTACACTGCAATGTGGCAAGAGTCCATTTTTAGTCGATTTTTAATCCCAGAAGTTGTAACATTGGGCGCATTCAGTAGAAAAAGCGCTCAATGAGCAATCAACGATTATTGGTTCTTGCTATTAGATCCCTAAATCTAGACCAATTACATTGACAAATTACTCAACTGTTGTGCAACTGTTGAGTTTGCTGAATGCAGCCATTGTTATACGCTGTTTGGGAGACATCAAGACTGGAGTAAAGGATGGATTCGTCGAAGTTTCTGAGGAACGTCGCGACTCCTCCCTTGGCTAACATGTAGGTTACTCGATCAAATTAATTTAAATCAACGTAATAAGCGGCAGGCTTCCCTACGAGAGTGTTCTTTACTTCAGCCAAGTGGAATTCGAGTCGATACTAAATGAAAGCAGCAGCGACGAGGAGGAGTCAGGCGTGCGAAGCGTCCCGACGTCGCAAATCCAGCGGAACGAGTCCAGCTCTATCACGCACTTCGAGAATCTTCCCGATAGAGACGAGGCTAGTATTAAGAGCGAGAATACACGCAAATTGCGGCGTACATGCACGCGAGGAAGTAATCACTTCAAAAGTCCAGTTTCAACGAGATGGTTCGAGAATTTTGCCGATAGAGGGGCAAAACTAGTGTTTAAAAGGAAAGGGAGAAAAAGTGCAGAATGTACGCGCGCGGAAGTAATAGATTTCAAATATCTCGATCGCTCTTTAACGTTCTACAACGTCACGTTCTTGCGGTCACTCGTTTCTCCGTTCATCGGTTAATTTCATCAATACTCGGTTTCAGCGTAATTAATATGACAGCGACGGTAATTGCGCGGAGAGAGCCGGCAAGTTGCTGTCGGCGAAAAAATGAGATGTGAATTCAGCGAGACACGAATCGCGATCGCTGGCAATACGTCCGCCTTTCCTCGCGCGTGACTTATCTCATAGATAAACTAGAGTCATATTCCTAAACCATCAGAGGTCGTAATGATTTCGCAAATATTGCTAATTAAAGGATCATTTTGTTTATTTCTTCGAAGTCTCAAATTAGTATTGGAATTATTAAAGGCACAGATATAATTGGAAATTATATGGAGAGAGAATTGTATAGTAAAAATTACGGTAGAACTTTGTAACCGAGAAACAGAATCGACATTCTACTTCTCTATTCTTTCATCTCACTTCATGTTATTTATATTTTAGAAACTGAAATATATACTATTCAAACACTTGCTAAGTTTCTAGCGAAATTTGCTATGTTTCTTAGCAAAATAGACCTTACAGTTAATTTTTCTCGGCTGCTAAAAACATAGTAAAATTGAAAAGAATTTGTATAAAGAAAGAAAATTATAATATTATCTTGGTGTATATGCTGGAAACATAAAAATCAAATTGACGCACCGGCCGATAATGAGTTAATTCCCGCAGATCATTTTGGCTATGATCTGGTCGAACAATCACTTGGGTGCGGCCTACTACAACATTCTCACGTCCGAGTTGTCTGTGATGGATGACACCTACGACGATGGCGTTTACTTCAACATCATGAAGGCATTGTACAGACAGTGCCAGCCGCGCTACGTCATCACGATCTCCGGCACGCCCGAGGAGTTTCTCGCCGCGATCGAGGCTCTGGTAACGTCGGAAACGACGTCGAGCGATCCGAACATGTCGACGAGCAGCAGCGATGGGTCGGCGGGGGTCTCACTCAAAGTGATGCGGAAGAAGGAGCACAGCTTCGACAGATGCTATCACAGGGTGCGATGCCTTAAGCTCCAATCGGAACCGGCGAACGCCAACAACGTCGAGAGGCTTGTCTTCCTGCAGGGTCTATTGAACTTCAAATCGGTCGTCATGATCCACGCGTTGGGTCTACTCTTGATCTACGTCGATCACCATTGGGCCAATCTCGCGTTGGATCCTTCCGGCAAGCCCAACTTCGTGTCCTTGACTAGCGTGATGTTGTGAGTCCCTTCGCGTTTTATTCGTTCCATTCACTCATCAACGGGAACATTAATTTATTGAATTATATACTTTTTTTGTTAAGTCTTGTTAAGTTTTGTTAAGCGATGAACATTGTTAAAGTCTGGTTTATTATATTTCCCTATTCGATGCAAATGATTCCTTTTTCTAAACATTTTACTTTTCATTTTATTATTCTGAAATGTATGCTGTATTTTATTTTTATGGATGCGAACGGGGGACTCATAGACGCGATATCGTCATGATGGACGACGATACTTACGAGGCGTTAAATATCGTGCACGCCAGACACCATCCGAGCTTCTTCAAGTGTGGCGACGTAGCGTCGAAGAAGCAAAGCAGCAGTCTTTTTACCCTTTTGAATCGTTGCCAATCGCGTCCTGGAGCGCAATTCCTGTGGCAAGTATCGTGCGCGACTCTGCACGATTACGTCATATATATTTATACAGAGCTGCGTCACGGCGCCAGTACCAAGACGCGATCTCGATTGCAACGTGTCGATTAAAATTAATTAGACTTAATCATCGTAGGATGATTTTTGTTACTCTCTTTTGCATTATATATCTCTCTTTCATGCGGCGAGCTTGATATAAAAGCGAAAATATGTTATTGCAGGAAGACGCTCCGACATCCTACAAGGAACGTCGAGATTCTTAACGCGAGACTTGAAGTGACTGAATTCTGTCTGAAACCGGATAACCAGAGTACCGTTGAAACTTTGACGTCGTGTTTGAAGCACCTGTATCGTTTGACTAATGTCACTCTGGATCGATACTTGGTGCAGCAAGCTAAAATCTACGATTGGCGACGTTTGTACAAGGTTCACACGTTTCTTCATTTTTACGTGAATAATTTAGTTACTTGTTCCCGATATTTGTTACACGAGTCTCGTTTTCTTTATGTTTCACGTCGCAGACGGTCTCTTCTATAACTTACATCGCCGACATATGCGAGAAGCAGCGCAACAAAGTAAGACTGTTCGGCAAAATCGTCGACAGCGTCACGAACGATGTACGATATGTCAAGTATTTCCTCGAATACTTAGTGGATTTCAGCGCCAAAAAGTCCGAGAACGATTTCATCGTTCGACCGAACGTCGATTCGCATTTGGATAAGTGTAAACTGATTCTTATCATTTTCGCATAGCTCGATACGTCGCTAATATTATTTTATTTTTCTTAGAAGCAACTTTTTCAATTTTTAATGTCTGATGTATTGTATTTTCCTAAAATCGTCTGGTCGCGTATTTTGCACGCACTCAAACGACGTCCAAAGTATGAATTACATTACGTGTCAAAACGCAGTGCATCACATGAGAAGCACTTTACCCGAGACGCTGACGCAAATGGGACAGAAAGATCTGCAGGAATACCTTCCGCCGTCGGTGACGACCTGCAAGATGACATACTTACCGAATATCGGATATCTTCTGGCGATTACCGGGTGGAACCCTTCGCCAGGCGAGGATACCGATTTGCCGAATCTGGAGTTTAAATTCGTCAGCAACAACATACGATACTACAAGAGTCCCAGCGCTAAAGGTTTTCTTATTCCATATCTTCGACAATCATTTGAACTTGAGCGTTTCAGATCCCTTAATCTTTCCTGTCGTGCAATCATATCGATTTCATCGGTTTCAGAATTGGACGACACCATCGGCGACATACTGTTAAGAATAAATAAACGAGAGAGTTACATCATGCTGAAACTTATGAAATACATAAATAAGCACGCCGCGTCGATCTTCAGCGCGATTCAATTGTGCGCCGAATTGGACACGTGAGTGATCGACACTCTTATGATTTTTTTTTAAAGGGAAAACATGATGTCGGAAAATAAATGTATTAACGAAGAGCCAAAGTGACTCATTAAATCTCAACATGCCATCGCAAAATTTCTTAACTGTAGACAAGATAAATAGATCGAACAAATAGCAATTTTACATTTAACGAGACATTCAAGTCGATAAAACAGAAATAACTTCTGAGATGCGTGTATCTTACGTCCTCGACGACTACAGATTGCTGGCGTTTTGCGTGGTCGCGCAAGAACATAATTATGTGAGACCATGCGTGGTGGAGCAGCAGATCATAGCAGTGGAAGAGGGTCGACATCCCCTACAAGAATTTGCCACGACGACATTCGTCTGTAACGACATTCATTCCGGAAACGGGAAGAGCCTCGTAAAGATCTTGACCGGCCCGAACGCCTCCGGCAAGAGCACTTATCTCAAACAAGTCGCGCTTATTACATTCATGGCTCACATCGGCTGCTACGTGCCGGCCAAATCTGCTACCATAGGAATAGTGACTCACATTCTCACTCAGCTTACGTCCATGAATAGCGTCGCACTCAATACGAGCACCTTTTTGGAGGATATGCGACAAGTGCGACTCATTGTTCGAGCTTCGAAATTATGCTGAGCACGATTTTTGTTTTTCTTTTTTTTTGTCTCAAGTAATGAATATTTGACGATATTTTTATTTGGTTATTTTATATGTTATTTACAAATTAATTGTTAATTAATCGTGTCTTTGAATGATAAATTTTCGGATAAAGCGATTGGAATTAATTACTATTAATTATTTAATTATCCTTTTTTTTTAGATAAACTCCGCTCTTTACTCATCCACACCGAATTCCATTGTGATTTTGGATGAATTCGGTAATGGTACGTCCGAGGTGAGCGGCTTGTCGTTGCTCGCCGCCGTACTGAACAACTTCATCGAGCGTGGTGTCTACTGTCCACACGTTTTCGTGGCCACGCACATGCATCGTATAACAGATATGTTGCCACGCAATCCGATAATTGAAGAACAGGTAAGATCGCCTTTATTCCATAAATATCGATGTATACACAAAATAGACAATTTTGGTAATAAATGATAACGTTGTTAACATTTTTAATTCACGTAGTCACGCTTACATCTAAGTGAAAAGCCTTTCCTTTATTCGAATTTGTAAAATAGGAAATTGTTTTATTACACTGAAATAACATCCTGATTTTTCAGTCACGTTGCTTATTATTACAGACCTTCGAATTTATTACAAACGACGACGGCACCGTGGCGTATCTTTACCGTCTAACTAGTGGACACGCGACACGTAGCTTCGCACATGCAGCTGCACGAAGCGCAGGTTTGGACGAGGAAGTAGTCAAGCGAGCATTAGAGGTTAATTTAGTTAGATTAATTCTATGTTCAGTTACTACATGCAAATCACACACATACGATTATTCTCGATTATTCTTTACCGTGAGAACGCTTCGTCATAAAACGACTTTTGCAGGTGTACGACAAGTTTAAGGCTGGCGAGCTACCTTCACGACTACCGGCAGCGCAAAGACAAGAGGAGTAAGAATATTTTTATTTGATAATATTTTTGTAGATCTATAGTAGTTGTGTATAAATTTGCGAGATTGTTGCGTGAACACGTAAACAACATATTCCTTCAATATTGTGCCTTGTAATTTTATAGGACAACGCGCATTATTCAACGGATGCTAGAATCTGATAATTTTGGTACAGAGTTCCTGGAGGAGTTAAAATTGTTGATACGACAATTCATGGAACCAGGTACGAGGAAGTTTTAAAAATCCAGATTTTTAAATAATACATAGCCTAAGAAATAAATGTATTAAATTAAAAGTCGCGTTAGATATAAATTTAATATATTTAATATGCCATTTGTACACACAATGCAATAAAATATTTAATAACATCATTGAGTTTTTTATTATATGTTATTATTTATTGTAAAGATTTCGAAATTAATAAAGGTAAAAGATTAAAAATTGTAACAGGTCATTTAGCCAAGACATAAACCCTATTTAACCAAGACGCGAACCTAAAAGTTCAGAGCCTAAAAGTTCAACGAATTTCATATGCGACACTGTTAGATGGCGCCAGGCAGTTCAATAATCACAATTTAATAAATTTAGCCAATCGACTATTATTAGTTCTAAAGTCTCCGCTACGAGCCGCCACTATTCGTCGCGACTAATGAAATCGTAGTACAACTCAATCACTAGTCGGACGGATGTTTATTTTTATATAATATAACTCAATAACAGATCAGAGTTTTTTATTTTTGCATTGCACAAAGCAACAGCATATTGAATAATGTTTCTATTCTTGAATAATACAATTTAACGACAAATGCAAGAGATTTTTCAAGTAATACAACTCAACGACAGATTAACCTGGCCTTTATTTTCAATTAACGCGACTTTCGTATTTCAAACTAATAAGATATAATTAATTCAAATAACGCAGCACGTAATGCAGCGGAACGCATGTCGCGCGGGAAAGAGGGATGCGAAAGTTGATCGACTAACAACTTTCACAAAAATGCAAATACAAAATGACAGGTTGATTGATTATTCTGTCTTTCCTTATCGCACGTTATAAAGCATTCGCCTCGCGGTGTCCTCTTTGCAGGCGCTGTTAAATATTATCACGAATTATTTACTCATCAAACATCAAACGGTTGCGACAAATGGCTGTAAAAAAATGTATCATTTAATTTTGACGTTTTCCAGGTATAATCATACATCAAAGATCGACATTCGTTTTGATCTATCATTTACTGAACATCGCGTCATGTTTTCATCGTCGCCCCCGTCGCCCCCAGGTTGCGCCGCTCTCTCTGATAGCGCCCGTGATTTCGCGCGGCCAGGTGGCGCGGCGGTCGACTCGCGCCGGTCGGAGCTGGCGTTCGCAGTCCTTCCGTTGTCAATAACGGACACTGGCAGTATCCCGGCATAAAAGCGAACGGTCGTCCTCGCGCGAGAGACTAGCCAACGGCCGTGCCGTGATTCGGCTGCTACGCGGACGGATCGTCGTGTGTGTATGTGCCGTGCGCGCTCGCATTGACCGCTTGACTCGTCGGCGACGACAACGACGGGGCCGAGGACGGGACGACGACGACGACGACGACAACGCGTTGTTGCTGCTCAGGTGCGTACGTTCGTCCGGGAGACGAGAGCCGCGGCTAGATTACGCACGGACCTGCCTTGGAGTCGAGGAGAGGAGTGCTCGCAGTACTTGGGACAAGAGAATTTGCGACGAGGGACGGCTAGAAAGGGAAGAGAGCAGCTGAGTGAGCGAGAGAAGGAGCGAGATAGATAGACAGATAGAGGAGGCGGACAGAAAGAGAAACAAGGACGCAGGAGAGCGCCGTCGTCGAGAGGATAGGGAACGACGGAGGAAGAAAGACGGAACGAGGGGTGACCGGTCGACTCGCCACGCGAGTTTGAATACGAACGTAACTGTCAACCGTCATCGCGCGAGAAAGAGAAAGAGCGTGTGTGTGCCTCCTTATCTCGTTCGTCCTCCTTCTCTCACGCACGCTCGTTAATTCGTTCGTTCGAGCTGCGCGAGTGGATTAATCAGCCGCGTGCGATCATCCCGCTGCGGTGGTAACGGAAGCCGGGCGCGTTTTATGGTGCCGATCGCGGTGCGTCGGACCGACTAAATGACCATGGATCACGGTACGTGCAACATCGACGTCGGCTGCAGCATAAACATCCAGAGGACCGACGGTGAGTGCGCCAACATTATTATGCCGATACGATGCGTTAGTGCGTGCGTGTGCTAGACAAGGAGGAGCGCGCGCGCGCGTCTCGCAGCCGCAGTCGCGCCTTCTCTTTTTAGCTCGCGGTCCCTCTCGCGCGCTCCTTCTCTCCTGTTTCCGTCTCCGTCGCGTCCTGTGCTGCTTGTCGCGCTCCCTCCTTCTCGCACGCGCACTGCCTTTATTCGCTCCGATTTCCCTTGTTCCTATTCGCCTTCGTCTCCCTTTATCTACGGTTCCCCTTCTGCTCCGTCTTCTCGTCGGTCGGTCGGCGCGATCGCTCGAGATATTCTCGCTCGTTCGCCGTCCGTCCTTTTCGCGCGCGGCTTTTTCCGTCTTATTCGCGCGCGCCGCGTTCACTTTGCTGTAGTTTCCTTCCTTCTTTTCCCTTGGATGACCTCACACGCCGCTTCTTCGCGTTCTTTTCGTTCTTCTCTATTATCACGTCTTGTAGTTCTTCTCCGTGCATTTTTTCTTCATTCCTTATTCTCGTCTTCCTCCCACCCCGCCTCCGCTCGTTCTTTACTCTCCTTCGCTCCGTCTCTGCCCCTTGTTAACTTCAACTCACTCGCTCGTGCGTTTTTCCGCGGTCGCTGTCACGCGGATGCGAACGTCGATCGTCGCGCGTGGGTTCCCCGTCGCCGTAGTCCTCGTTGTGGCTACCTTCTACCGATCGGTCCCGTCCGAACTTGCGTTTCCATATACGGGGAAATTCGTGCATGGCCACTGCTCAACTCGTTCGTGCCTTCGTAGGTCACAGCGCAACACTCGTGTTTGTTTTTCGTTTTTGTCGCGATTTTGTTACAGTGCTCTCTCCCATACCGTCGTCCTTAACGTTTGTAGCGAATGTAAATAGAGTACCTCGGAGCCGCCTGGTTTGACATAGCGATAACGAAAAAGTTTCTCGAGGAAATTTCAAGCTAATTCCGTCGCGAGCAATGTTCATTCCCGAACCTTGACGTTACGGCTTCTCGCGAGTTATAAGCTCGCGACTCTAGCATATCCGAATTGCTCCGAGCGGGCGTAATAACGGACGTTTCGAAGCCGCCGATCGAGCCGTAAGACAGCACTTCCTTTCACCGCGCGCGTGTTGTTCCCGACATGTAGAACGAGACCGAAAATCTCGCGAATTTCCAGCACGAGCGAGTCGCGTTCTCGTTAGCGTAATCGAAAAGCGGAAGTCCGTACCGATGGCGTCACGAAACGAAGCGTTGTTTTGAATTAATCTATAAAATACTGACCTACTTCTCGCGATGTTTTATACAATTGCATACGAAGAAGAATTGTTTATTAATGTTCAACAAATATATATTTATTATATTCTCTTGGTGTCTCAAAGATTAAGAAGGAATATTTTACATGCCGGGGTTGAGAAATTAATAAGACGTTTTTAATAATTTTAATAATTTTAAAATTACAATGGGAAGCTGTTAGATTTCCCTTTCGCCAGGAACCTGAACGGGTATCTACATTTGCAATCACGAATTCTCACTGTGAATGCCGCATTGTGTTCTCTGCGGTGCCAAAGAGCGGAAATATTAGGTCCAAAATTGACGTCACTGACGTATCTACGCTCGTTTCTATTGATCTCGCGATTGTTTATACATATATGACACGCGCTATCGATCATTCGGTATACCTATACCGGTGCACGTCGTCGGAATATTATCACGTCTTTGGGATTGCTACCTGCGATTCATGTTAACAAAGAAATGAGTCTAATCCAAACTGCGATCAAGATAAAGCGAGTCCTGTAATCTTTCGTATGCTTTATCAAGATAAAATATTGTCAGAAGAGCATGGCAACTTTGGTCGGTATTCATAGATTGTGAGTTATTTAAAATCTCTGATTAATTACAAATGTGCGCGTTTATGAACAGTCATAAGAAAGATTTGGCAACCATCATACTGAGAAAAAACCTAAAACTTTGTAAAAATAATTTCTAAATTGTGGAATATGAGAGAGAGGATATTTTTTGAAACATCATAATGTTATAAAATAAAATACTATGAAATTCCATTTAACATTTTATCAATATCTAATATAGTTTCAGAAAAAAATGTATTATATATATAACAAAAATTATGAAAGAAACTATTTCTTTTAGAATTTTTTTCTATCCCTGAAAACAAATTTTTTAGTCAAAATAGCAAATAGCTATTTTATTAGATGTCTTATTTAGCAAATAATTATTATAGCAAATAGCTATTTTATTAGATGTATTATTTAGCAAATAATTATTATAGCAAATAGCTATTTTATCAAATGTCTTATTTCCGCAAAAAGTTTCAAGTGTTTCACAATTTCACAACTGTCAAAGTTCCTTCGTAAGTCAGGAAAATGAAAGAAAAGAAGCGGCAGAGGAAGGAACACTATCTGCAATAATTCAGTTATATTAGAATATACACGACACTACATATTCACGGTCGCCACGAATCAACCTGTCGACCTTCATTCCCCTAAAAGCCCGGCAAATGTTCTCGAGTTCGTAAATCGGCCAAAAGTTCGGTCAGTAAACCATCTCTCTCTTTCTCGAGTCCTGCTCGAGGAAGCTACGAGAGGCGAGCACGTGGGCGAACATATATCTTCCGATATTTAATTCAAAGTGCGAGCGATGGCCGAGTCGGTGGTGCTTATCAACTATAGACGAGCCGGCCACGTATTGCTCGGTGCAGCTTGCGCTTCGGATGCACACTCATCGCTCACCGTTACACGTTCCCGTCCGTTCGTGAAGCGGCGAGCACGGCGCTTCATGGGGAGGGCCGGCATAATTGATCCGGCAGCCTGCGCCTCCCGCTCCCAGACAATACTTACCTTTCGGCCTGTGCGAAAATATTCCGCGTAAGTAAACGGTCTTAGACGCGGTGGCGGTGACCGCTTGCCGTGTCGACTTCTGCACCGTTGAATGCTTATCAGGGCATTCATAATTCGCAAGAGATTCCTAGCTGGCCGCGCGGAAACTCTCTTTCGCTCCCAGTGAGGTCCTCGTCCCGTTCGTAATCTCTTTCTTACAGCATTCAACACGCTGCCTGTCAATGTAATCAATGTAATCTATGTACATATATCCAATCCGTGTAAGCTAAACATATGAGAATATTACTTCCTCTCTTCTTCGGGTTTGGAGCGTGTCTTTCTTGTATTTGGTTCCGATATTTCGTGAACATTTCAGTTCACTTCTTCAGGGAGCAGAGCGACAGGGAGTGGGAGCAGCTTCAGTCGCCCTGTTCTTTGAAGAAGCAAACTGAAATATTCACGAAATGTCGGAACCAAATACAAGGAAGACGCGCTCCAAACTCGGAAAAACGAGCGAAATATTGGACAACACCGCGAAAACCTAAAATATTGCTTTAATGTGACTTTTATATTTGCTCGCAACAGTTAAGGGGAAAGGAAGTTTATATACAAATAATGAAAACATGGAAATTTATGACTGAAAAGAGACGGTGGAAATTAAAGAATTCCTGGCAGAAAAATACATTCTTCTTAACTTTATTCTTCTGTGCAAAATTGTGCACAGCATCAATACCAGACTTTCGTTATCAAAGTCGAGATATTCATATTTGCATACCCGTCGTGAGTACTCCGGTATCTTCCTCTTTGAATTGTTATTATAGCGTCAAAGTTAGTCACAGGCACCTGATGGAGATTCAGCAGTCAGAGTGGTTAATCTCGGAGGTGTTCCGTGAACCGCTGCTTTAGCTCGCGATTCAGTAGGAATTCCATCTCCTTGCATTCGTATGACCGGACAGCATACACGTATGTGCGGCTTTGCGTTTCGTCGAATGCTTACCGGGGCGTTCATAATTCGCAGAGGCTCTTAAAGGCCGCGCGGGAATTGCTTTATTGTTAACCACTTTACGTTGCGGCACGCATGGGAAGAAATATCGCTGCGCTTTCGAGCGTTAATCCGCGTGTACGCAGCACTTCTTCCCGACCGTCCCGCATCGTAAGACACCGACGGGAATGATCCGGACGTGAGCCGCAAAAATTCCGACCACGTCGCACGAAAAACTTTGCACGAAACGCCGAGCGGAAATACGGAAATGCGAGGTTGCGAAATAAAAGAAACCTTAGGCTTTCTTCGTCTTTGTATTTACCTCTCATGCTTCTGAGAGAGAGATTCTGTTATTATAAAAATCGTTCTACATTAGTTGCAAGAAAGAAGAGTCTCAAGGCCGCAAGAAAATTGACCAATCACAGTCAATTCTTCTTTGATCGTAAGAACGATTGTGATTGGTAAATTTTCTTACGATCTTGCGATTTGCAACTAATGTAGAACCGGTCTTAAGGTCGTTCTACATTAGTTGCAAGCAGTCAATCGCAAGATCGCATTGTCGCAAGGCGCAAAACTCTTGCGATATGAGCTTCTACATTTCAATCGTTGGTCACAGCCAATCAGTGACAAGAATGTTTCATTAACATCCATAAGACTCTGTCACAGGGAAAAGGAACCGATGTCAAGATGAACATGCGGAACAATACTTACGTTTAAATATGGAAGCGAACAAACAAAAACAGACAGGTAAAGTTGACGCTAATAAACCTATATATGCGGAGCTCGACACTGATTGGTTGTCGCAACATCGCAGAGGCGCAAACTTTGGACTTTGGCAAACCTTATGATTACTGCTTGTGACTAGCTTACAACCGGAAATAGTGCTGCTTGCGATCATGCGATTGACTGCTTGCAACTACTTTTGATACGACTTTTAGATACGACTGCCTATCTTTGCTGTTATTAATGTTCTTTTTTTATAATATTACATCTACTTAGATACTACTGATCCACTCTCTAGGTTTCTTCGAGTGAGATCCCACTCGAAAAGTAGAGTAACAACCGCGTCACTTGAAGTCGAGTGACTTCACTCATACTGAGTGGATGTGCTCCATCACGAAATATTCACCCAAGTAGCCCTAGTCTTCCCTATCTCCCAAAGACTCTCTTTTATTGGAATATTCCAAGTTTTACAAAATCCCACGGAAAAGAGGGCGAAACTTGGCCGCACTCTACACTGAGAGAAAAAAATAGTTGGAATAACTATAATCTCACTATATTTTATAGTTCGTTTTGGCCTCAAACATATATTTATAGTTCATCTAAACATGAAGATAGTAGAATGAACACAGATTTATAGTCACCATCTTATTATCTCTATATATATATGGTAAAGCACCTTTTGGGAATATAGTTACATGTACCTATATTTGCCAAATATTCCAATTGTATTGACTATATAAAATAAAATCCGTTTTTTGTAGTTTTTATATGTGATAAAATAAAATCCGTTTTTTGTAGTTTTTATATGTGATTTTTCGTCACACTTATGTGGCAACAGATCTACCTAAAGTTACACTCAAATTTTCACGTTACATTCTTTATGATACATTACTTCGATATTGCAAAATGAAATTTACCGAAACGGATGGAACTTTACTCGGCAAATAATTCACCGGAAATAAAAGAATATATCTTTATTTCCGATATGAAGATAAGTTATTTGCCAAATAAAATTTATCTGAGATAAACGGAGTGTATGAAATTATGAGAAATTAATTTCTCTTACCATTCAATATTTGCCACCTTACTATATTTTTTATTTCAAATAATTATAATTCTTGGTAAAAATTTTCCACGAATCAGTTGTACTTTGCTTATATTGTAAATATTACAAATATTATGGTAACATTTACTATAAAAATTATATTCCTAACTATAATCTTTTTACTATGCAATTATAGTTCCAAATGTCATACATTTTTCTCTCAGTGTATGTTCTAGCCACTCTCTAGGATCCTGCGGAAAATTTCGGCTGCATGAAACCTGGACACCCCTGACACAGGCCTGATCTCATTCCCTTGACATTTTGCGATAATGCCCGGGAAACTTTCAGTAAATGAAAGTATAAAACTGATCGTGCCTTCTTGTCAGTTCAGTCAGTGGGGCACATTTACCTTGCGTTCTCACGGCGCGCACCTGGCCCGAAACGCGATCGAGTCGCGAGTGAATCAGACACGTTACCACCCTCGTCGGACACTTCGGGCGTTCACGTATACATGTTGCGAACGCGGCGCGATCGATATCAAGCGATGGGTGCTTCGTCGGACAGCCTCCTACATAACGTATATAACAGGCGACTCTCGAGAGGCGCGTTTTTATTTTTCGCGAGCGCAAGCGAATTCGTTGCATTTCCCCGGCGCCTTGTGAAGTGTCCCGACACGATTAATTCTCTGGACGGGCGCTGACGTGATCTCGAGTCGAGAAGCCTTCGCGCGATTCCCGCTTGACTCGAAGCGACGTAACGATACGAAATCAATCGTATTATTTCGTTGAAGAGAGGAGGAAGGATGGCGAAGGAAAGAGAGAGAAAGAGAGAGAGAGAGTGAGGGAAGGGGGAAACAACGTTATTTATAATGTCGTCCGTCATGAGTCGTACATGTGTCTGGGAACTTCGATTATTTCATACTACGTGTTACACACTTTGCACAATATTAGCCCGCCAACGCGGAATATTTCTAAGGCTTCCACCCGTCCTTGGGATTCGAATCGTGAGACAGGCTTTGTCGCCGTTTATTCGTTCTCCGCGCCGGCGAACCGCTGACATTTCAATAAACATACACTCCGTTTATCTCAGATAAATTTTATTTGGCAAATAACTTATATCTTCATATCGGAAATAAAGATATATTCTTTTATTTCCGGTAAATTATTTGCCGAGTAAAGTTCCATCCGTTTCGGTAAATTTCATTTTGCAATATCGAAGTAATGTATCATAAAGAATGTAACGTGAAAATTTGAGTGTAATTTTAGGTAGATCTGTTGCCACATAAGTGTGACGAAAAATCACATATAAAAACTACAAAAAACGGATTTCCGAAGCTTTTATATATAAAAAAAATATTGTAATAAAAATTGCGATAAAATTTGGATCATACTAAATTATGACTGAAATTGTAATTATGATTAATAATCAATTTAAATTATACAATAATTCATAAATTCCTCTCCTCTAAATTTTAACCGATTTGTTTTATTTACTTGAATTTTTATTATAAAATTATTGTAATTATGTTAATTAATACATGAATGTTTTTTTATATCGTATATTTGAAGATAAATTGTAAAATTTTTCATTTCTATAATTTATATTATGTCAGTACATGTGTCTGTACGATGTTAGTAAAATCCAGCTTTACAAAAAGCCTTGAAAGAAAGAGACACAATTTCAACGTAATTCTTGCTCCAAGAATTTTTAACGTTATTGCAAATTGAATAATTAATTCAGTACAGTATATTATCTCTTCATAAATTGGGTTTAAACAATTGTGGAGCTCTCATCGCCGATTGTCTCACGTCGTGGTGATCATGAAATCTGAGCGCTCAAAATTGCAATGAATCACAAATGACATTGCATCGGCGGAATCGCGCGCGTTCGACGACCTTTGCATCCGCGACATTCAAGATCCGGTATTGCCGCGATCACCACGTTTACCTGGCATATGTGGCGGTGGTGGCCAGGACGACGGGAATCAATCGATTTCCGCTGATCAGTGTGTACAGATCGAAATTGAATTACAAACGTTGTAGGCGACGCGAGTTCTCGCGGTCGACCGCTTCGGGATTAAAGGGAATGGTGCGTTACGCGATATCGCATAAATTCATGTCGCTGCTGGGAACACCGGGAGTCGGTAAATATTTACGTAATAATAGCGCTCGCACGCGTCTCGCCTTCGCCACTTTTATGCAGCCGCGCGCTGCATCGTGCATTCCGCGCGGGCACATCCGTTGGAACGTCGCCCGGAACACAACGGCCCTCAAACTTTAATCCTCCACCATGTTGTCGTGTAATACCGACGATCCGCAAAAAGCTTCCCAAAGATCTCTCGAGTAAGCGGAATAAAGATAAATTGCAATTGTGACATTGCTTCGTAGCGACACATAAACGACGAATCGCTTTCACGGACTTCTCCTCGGCGCAACGTCTGAAAACATTCAGAGAAAAGATTGTTAATTTTTTTCACGAACTATAGTCGGCACCAACAATATTTATCTGTTGTTTTCTGAACCGAAAATATAATAGCAATATAATAATAATTTTATTGGTCGGAGGAATAAAAAAAAATAAAAATAGAAACATGCATATAAAATTATTGACAATATAATAGCTATAATGTAAAAACTACAAAAAACGGATTTCCCGAACCTTTTATAGAAAAAATATTGTAATAAAAATCGCGACAAATTTGGATTATACTAAATTATGTCTAAAATTGTAATTATTATTAATAATCAATTTAAATTATACAATAATTTATAAATTTCTCTCCTCTGAATTTTAACCGATTTGTTTCATTTGTCTGAATTTTTATTATAAAATTATTGTAATTGTATGTTGTATTGTAATTATAATTGTAATTATTACAATTATATACTATAATAGAAGACATCCCAACAATATGTAAAGAAGAAATTGCTAAATCAGTTAAATAACCATTACAATTGTAATTGTAATTATTGTACGTTGATTAATGTTTGAATATTTTTTTATATCGTATATCAGAAGATAAATCGTAAAATTTTTCATTTCTATAATTTATATTACGATGTCAGTACAATCCAGTCTTACAAGAAACCTTGAAAGAAACACAATTTCAACGTAATTCTTGCTCCAAGAACTTTTTACCGTGTATCTATATATAATTACTTTCTTTTAAATTAAATTAGTAGTTTCCTAATTGCCTTACCTTGCAATTACAGTCGCGAATACTATTCTTTTCTCAGTGAAAAAGTCCATGTCATTCTGTCCGCCTCTCGCTCGGGGTCCGCGGAAAACACGTTTGCACCGCCGATTCGCTCAAAGGGAGGCACCAACATATCCGGTATCGACATGTTCGATACCTCGTTCCACACGCGCGTGTGTGGCATCGCGAAAGGCCTCGCGAAAGGCATCCCCCATCACCGGCTCGCTCGCGCTCTTTTGCAAGACAATCGGCACGGTTTTTATTTACGCGTTCTTTGCCATTTGAATGAGTCAGACCGGTCGCCAAGAAAGGCGAGGGTTCCGCCAATAGCGGCCGGTCGGTTACACGCTCTTTCTCTCTCTCTCTCTCTCTCCTTCCCGCGCAGTTAAATGCGTGTCGCGAGGAGCTTTTTATCGTACCATGTATAATACACAAGGATCGAATCGGCCACCTCGTAATTGCCGATAATTGCGCCGGCAATCCAGAACACGCCGCGTCGCCGGAAGCGCGTCGATCATCGGCTTATCGTGCTGAACGTCACTTATCTACCTTCACCCCAAGTCGCATGCCACCGTGTCCACTTTTATCGCCCTCTATTTTTACGCAGCGTACAGCTATACGTACACGCACGTCTTAGCGTTCCTCTCAAGCATTTGCCAGACTCGGTCCTTACGTGTCTAATGCCAATATCGCACGACGGAAGCGAGCGTTCGAAAAATACGGTGTGTTGCTCCGGGAATTAACGTGAGATATATTCTGAGAGAAAAGATATCTAAGAAATAAAGAATATCTATTCGTAGTAAGTACTACAATAACGTATTCATATATACCAATATAAAACACTTTTCAAGTCACGCAAATATACATTTTCTTCAAACATTAACTTTTCATGAAAGCAATCGTTGTATTTTATTTGAATAAAAGAAATTGGATCTGAACGAATATATAATATCAGTCGAGTAAATCCGTCGAATAAATGTTTCTCATTTTTTATTTTGAGATATATTTTTCCTCGGTTTGCGTCTCTTTTTCAATGAAAGTTCTATTGCCAATAATTTTCTCTGATATAAATCCCGACTGTTCTTTTCTCTGTAAAATTATGCATTCCGAAATAATCATTCGTTTCTCTTTGCGTGTTCCACTCTCGAGTCCACGGCGAGAGAAAGAGAGATAGAGAGATATCAACGCTTGCTGGTTTCACACGCTATCGACTCGATCATCGACGATTTCTTAGCCGCGACACCGCGCCCGAGGTCGCGCTCGCGGATCTCTACGGTCGCATTCGCGTTCGCGCTAAAAGTTTGCGGCTCGACCTTCTCTAATTAGCCGTAATAATTCGTCGCGTCACTCGCGACGATCGCTGAATGAGTCTATTGAGCGTAGCCCCTCCCGCCGCGCTAACGAACGTTTCGGTTCGTTAGCGAACTTACCGGCGGGGCTATTAATTCGCGAGAATTTCTGACACAATTGCCGTGACGCCGGCGCGTGGTTCTTAACGGGCGGCAGCGCGCTCTTACGCGTAACGCACGACTCGTCCTCGATATGTAACGTGGCCGCGAATCCCGCGAGGGAACATTCTCAAACGGGAAAAGCCGCGTGTTCGCGCGTGCAACAATTTTTACGCGATCAGCGGAGTGCGTCGTTGGAGAGCGCGCGGTTACGTCATTAAACCTCGCCGCCGGAGCGAATTAATGATGCAGAGGGAAGGGGAGGGGAGGGATCTCTAGTGCACTTGGAGAAGAAGCGACAAAATCGAGCGACTCCTCTTCAAAGAAATGTCGGACACACTGAGAGAAAAATGTATGATATTTGGAACTATAATGGCATAGTAAAAAGATTATAGTTAGGAATATAATTTTTATAGTAAATGTTACCATAATATTTGTAATATTTACAATGTAAGCATAGTACAACTGGAAAATTTTTATCAAGAATTATAATTATTTGAAATAAAAAATATAGTAAGGTGGCAAATATTTAATGGTAAGAGAAATTAACTATTTTATATAGTCAATACAATTGGAATATTTGGCAAATATAGGTACATGTAACTATATTCCCAAAAGGTGCTTTACCATATATATAGAGATAATAAGATGGTGACTATAAATCTGTGTTTATTCTACTATATCTTCATGTTTAGATGAACTATAAATATATATTTGAGGCCAAAACGAACTATAAAATATAGTGAGATTATAGTTATTCCAACTATTTTTTTCTCTCAGTGTAGATTACGCGTCAGTGCAACAATAAGTTGCGTTGATGTAGTTGCTGACTAAATTCATTGAATCAATTGATAACTTTCTCGTCGCAGCAACGACATATTAACAGTTATTATTAATGATGGAGAAAACATATATCCCGAAAGAGTTAAACGGAAAAAACAATATGGTTGATTCATACAGAAATCTAGTTGTGCCAACCAGATTCAATAGTAAGATACGAAACAACTATTTATGTGGTTGCTGTAACCAAAGAGCAATGGCTGAGTTACTTATGTTGCAGCAGTGATGATACATGATTAATACAAACGCGGCTCATTATACGCGTATATTTATACATTCAGAACCAGTTTTCACATGTATACATCTCTAGCTGTGCGCGTAGTGAATTGCTTTTGTTTTCTAACATCGCTGCTTTGCAATATAGCATTGATTAACTATATCGATATTTAGCTTGTTTATGCAAAATGATCCCCTTACTAATTTCTGGTTGCCATAACCAGATCACGCGCAACTTCATTGATGTAGTTGACACACCAAAGTAAGTCAAGTCACCTATCAATCTACACATAAATATCATATAAATATGTAGAATGATGCAGCTATTTGCTTACAACTAAATATTTTTTGTTAGTGCACCACATCTCTTTTTTCCGTGTAGTAATGGATATATTGGAATATCCGCGTTACACATTTTGGCAATATATTTTTTTATGTTTTATTCGGATATATCGTATCCGGATATCTAAATACCTAGCTCGTTGTACCGTTCTAGAAACATATTTTTGAACGGTAAATTTTTTGTTTATATTTTATTTCCCTCTTTTTCCTGAACCGTTTCGCCGTTAAAACTCCAGAGGTGTAGTACAGACTCGAGTCGCGATTCGCACGGTCGAGCGCGAACGCCACGGTATGCACTGCGCAAGGTAATCGATGCGGGGAGGAAAATTAGGCGAGCGTGCGAAGTGACTCCGCGCCGGCGACGAAAATCAGGCTCGCCTCGTTCGCGTTATTCGGAGTTGCGACAAAGGATCCCTCTCCGTTCGCATTCAAAATCGCCCACCGATTTGCGTCTAGCTGTGCGTAATGCGCGCGCTACTATTGTCCATATTTAAACTGTCTGACCTTCGCGATGCGGATGGAAGTAAAAAAGAAAAATGGCACTGCACGTGTGTGTAGTCAGATCGGGAAAACGCGCGCGATTAAAAAAGTAATGGTGGCCGCTATTCTGTCGCGTGTATGATTCAACGCGCGCCAATTGCACGATCGACGAGGCTCTCTGATCTAGACGAGGTCGCAGGGCGGTTTAACGAAATGCGTGTGTAGGACGCATCGATAAATTCACCTTTCAGTTAGAATTGCAGGCTACAATTAGCCGTAGTTACGCAAGAATGATCTAACTCACATGTGTATGTGAAGTACGTTTTGAGAAAAATGAAAATGAGACTTGACACGATTTAAAAAGTATAGACAGCACTGAGGTTCTTCGCAATCGTTTAAGAAGCCAAGCACGGTCAATTTTTTCTCTTTGGGCGCTCATTGATATGCTTAATAATCCTAAAAAATAATGTAAAAAAGACGCAACTAATAAGAAATGATGCAACTAATAGAAAATGAAAACTGCTTTTTAATTAATTTTAGACGCCCATAAGACTTGGATCTTTTTTATTTTGCGCAGAAAGATGTATAAACTATGGTAAACAAAAGTTCAAAATCATAATTTTTTGTATCATTTTTGTATAACTATGTGGCCAATTTATATATTTTCTTTCTTTTTTTTATATATTTCCTGTATTTCATACATAGTTCAGTCAAAAATTTCGGCTTAACATTTAACTGGGTTGCATCCAATGGAAAATAATTGTTTGTACGACAGAGCAATTGTCGTCGTTGTCATTCTGATCTAAACTACATTCATACACTTCTGTCGTTGAAGGTGGCCGCTTTTCTTCCTACCATCGAAGAAGATCGGATCAATCTTTCCAACTGACCTAGCGTATTTCCATTTTCCCGGTCGGATTCTCCAATAGTTCGAGTCGTATTTTATTCTTGCAACGGGTGAATTTTCATGCATTTTTTCTGAGCTTTTGTTGAAAATTTCGAGATCCATTTCTCCAAGCTCTTGGTAAGCTCCAAATAACAGTTACAGCTGTATGTCTGTCTTTATTTCAAATTAGATCTTACCCTTATACGTGTAGCGCGCCTCGTTGCGATTTCTTTCATCTCGTTTTTAAGGGGCATTCACGGGCAACGCGTCTATTTTAGTGCGCGCTCTATTTCGGCCGCGGTATCTGGAACTTGGTGAGCGACAGTGGACAGATATTCCGCCAAGTAGATGCACTTAAGACGTACCGAAGGCCGAGAATAGTGCGCCGCAGGACGTACGTTTGATTGGCAAGTGGAACACGTTCGTCAATTACGGTCGCGCGACGTCGTTATTAATTGAATCGCGTCAAACGACGATAAAGTGATCGTACGCGAAATACATAAATGACATGAAATAATTGCGCGGGAAAGATGTAAACGTCAAGGAGCCGGGCAGGAAAGAAAGGCGGAGACAGGAAGAGAAACGTTTTGCAAATCGCAATTTATTTATTTAACCTCTTCAGTGGTGATTTAAAACGACTGCACGATCTCATCCAGGATGGGTTTTCTTTAATGAGAGTACTCAGATTTCTTTTTTCTCTACATTGCTGTTTTCTTGGAAGAGTTTTAAAAAATGGAATATATCTAATTTTCATTTGTATTTGTTGTGAATTAAACAGAAACACAAAGTAGTTCAAGTAGATCGAAAAGAGCTTAATACCCAAGCAGAAATTGAATCTAATGATTATCTAGTAACGACACAGAAAAGTTGGGTCTTACATCGCTACTAGCTAGGAATGTAACGCTCACTTCTCCTAGTGACTGTACCAGAAAAATTATCTAGTAGCTAAATACAAAAAAATAATTTGTAACTATAATTGGTATAAGTACTAGACAGTTCTGATATCCAATTTCTATTC